AAAAATTCAAAGTGGAAAGCAAAAGAATATAAGAGGGGCCTTGAGACATGACTAATGACTAGAGGAAATGTCATTTTAGTGCCAGGAATGTCTTTCTTGTTTATTCTGGACCCTATTCGGAAATTGGCATCTTTTGAAATTTGTGTGAAATTGGCAAAATTGCTAAATTCTGACCACTGTACTGGATAGTAGAATTTCATAAATGAGTGGTTTCTTGCACCCATTCGATAGAAAAAATGGAGTTCTATCGAAATATTCATGTTTTTTGTCGACTAGTACAGTGAAATTGGCCGAAAATGGGGCTCAAAGTGGGCAAAATCGCCGATGCGTAAACATCGCCGAGACCGCTAACTTTGCGAGAGCATAATTCCGTAAGTTTTCTATCAAATTTCAAACTTTTGGTGTCTTTATGATCGGGAAAAGATTCTCTATCTTTTCATAAGAGAAAATAATTTTTTTTTTTTTAAATTTGGCCGACCCTGAGAACGAGTTTTGGAGAGGGCCTGTCGACCCTCAAAGGGTTAAGGAAGTATGATGGAGTGTAACACTGAGATATACTATAGGACCGTAGTGGAACACTGAGAAAAGAGTGCCGTGTGACATTGAAGATGATCAGGTTGTAGTGTACATTGAATAGTGTCATGTGACTGGCCTCTGAGAAGAAAGACGCTGTGGGTGATAGTGTGCGACGCAGAGACAAGGGTGTCAAGATTGTGACACAGTAGAGATATTGTGTATGACGCAGAGAAAAGGGTGTCGTGTGACACGGAGAGTAGGAGTGTCGTGTGACACAGAGAAAAGGGTGCCTAGTGAAACGGTTGAGCAGGAGCGTCATTACACGGAGGAAAGGGTGTCAAGTGACACAGTTGAGAAGGAGCGTCACAACACACCATGGATAAGTGTCGTGTGACACAGTGTCATAAGGGTGTCGTGAGACACGAAGAATGCAGTTGATTATTTATTATTGTACAAATGTTATTTATAATTTATTATTTTAGCATAGATATATGACACAGTAGTGTCTAAGAAAGTTGTACCCTGTGTGTAGTGTCATTAATTATTATTTATTATTTTAGATGCTAATAATTTATTATTGTAACATGTGTATGTTCAAATACCTCTAGACCAAAGATTGTGTGTTTTATATAATATTAAAGATTATTTTTATATGGAATTAAAATGATAAATATTTTGTGTATTTATGTATCCCGAACTCTTTATTACAAAATGAGTAAACTACCATCTAAAAATAACTTTTTTTTGTAATAACTTAATAAAATTAACCAACTTGACTTACACAAAGTTCATTGAACATCGGCAAAAATCGAACATTTCCGCTACTTTGAGCTCAATTTCAAGGTACTTTTCGTCATGAAATCAATCAAAATTATGTCTATTTCTGTAATATATCTTCCATTCTATCAAATGAAACCAAAAATCAAGAATTCAACCATAAAAACCATGCAAAAATATACCGCAAAGAGGCAGCTAATGACTGAGAAGTGAACTCCCTTATTTATCGTCCGTCTTTTTTATTTTTGTTGTACGTTAAGAAGCATCTTTCCATCATACATTGCCCAAGTTTCAATGAGATAGCCCAACAAACAACTGAGAAAAAAAAATATTTACCAAAAATCATGTATGACAAGCCCAAGCCAGGTACTGGAAATAAGTCACTTTGTCTATACATACGCTGCTATGTATGATAATCTATGTAACTGTATTTGTGTATACCTGAATAAACTTACTTATTTACTCCTAGTCTGTCGACTGAGTACAAGAAACCGCCCATTCACTTATTTCAACTACCCAATAAAGTGATCAGAAATTGGCAATTTGGCCAATTTCACACAAATTTCAACAGATGCCAATTTCAAAATAGAGTCCAGAATAAACAATGCAGACATTCCTGGCACTAAAATAACATTTTCTCTGTTCATTAGTCAGTGCTACAGGCCCCTCATATTCCTCTTGCTTACCATTTGGAAATTTTATTCACAAAAAGATAGAAGATTTACTGTTATGCAGACTACTGCATTATTGTAATAATTGTATAAATAATGTCAACCCATTCTTGACTCCGTATTGGAATTTGGACTGGCAGGTGGACAGGCATTGGACGGTGATGTCATTTGTTTACTCTTGAGCTTCACTAAAGAATAGAACATTTTCGCTACTGTGAGCGCAATTTCGGTACTTTTCGTCATGAAAGCAATCAAAATCATATCTATTTATTTATTTATTAATTTGAACATGATACAGTGAAGTACAAAAGAATACAGTTAAATGCAGCATGCCAAAGCCGCTTGAATGCATAGCATTACGGGCAGGCTTAAAATTAACTTAAGATTAACTAAGCAATGAAGTATTCAGTGGTAAAACATTATTGTAAACAGATAACAAGCACAAATGAGTATTACAAAAACAATAATGATACAATAATACAATAATGAGATACATATATGAGATACAATTTATGAGATACAATTATTCAGTATTTATTTAGTTGTGGGTGAGTAAGTGATTTTTGAGAAGAGACTTGTATTTATAAACAGACAGTGTTTCTTTTATATTCACAGGTAATGAATTCCAGATTTTAGGGCCTTTTATGTGCATCGAGTTCTTGCATAGCGTGCGACGGACACGAGGAACATCAAAGAGTGATCTGTGTCTTGTGTTATGGTCATGTGTTCTGTTGAGGTTGGTAAGGAGATGTTTGAAGGGAGGGTTTATGTCAGAGTTAAGTGTTCTATGTATGTAGTAGGTGCAGTAATAAGTATGGATGTTTTGTATTGTGAGTAGGTTTAGAGTTTTGAATATTGGTGGAGTGTGCTATAATATATCTTTCATTCTATCAAATGAGACCAAAAAAACGAGAATATAATCATAAAAACCATACAAAAATATACTGCTAAGTGGCCGCTAATGGCTGAGAAGTGAACTCCGCTATTTATGGTCTGATTTCTTTCATTTTTGGTGTACATTAAGAAGTATCTTTCCATCACACATTGCCCAAGTTTCAATAAGATAACCCAACAAACAATTGAGAAAATAATAATAATAATAATAATATCTTTATTTACTACACGTACATTTACAAGGTATACAGGCCTAGCTGACATCAGTGACATGCTACTATATAGAAAGCCACTTGTTATGCAGAGTATTTCAAGAAAATTAGGTCAGTGTCCCAGGATAACGCCCACACTAGTCGGCTAACACCCAGGTACCCATTTACTGATGGGTAAATATAGACAACAGTTGTAAAGAAACACGCCTAATGTTTCTACCCTGGCTGGGAATCAAATATTTACCAAAAATTATATATGGCTAACCCAAGCCAGGTACTAGAAATAAGCCATGTTGACTTTTTTGGGTTATTCTAGGTTCTCTACACATATGCTGCTATGTGTGATAATCTACATAGAGAAAATAACTTTTTTGTTTCAGGTTTATGGTGCAATACGAGTGTATATCAGTTAGCCCTGTGCTACACTCCATTTTCTCTAATATAAGCCCCCAAGACAGGGATAGGAGAATGGTATTTGTATACCATATCCTCTTCATACCTCCGTCGAACTACTCAATATTATGCCAAATATTATTTATTCTGGAGTATTTAACATGTTTTATGTTATTTATATTGTTTATTATGTCATATTAGGTCAACTGTGATAGGCAAATAAGCTGTAATGTTGATATTAGCATAATAATAAAGCATATTCTCCAGCATCACGAGACTGAGCTCATGGCAACCGACAGTGGCTTCAAAGCCACCTTATCTAATGGACTATGTACGTACTGTGTTGGTGCTTCACATAATGAAAACCATTTCTTTTATTCAATGGAACCATGGCTAGGGCTAAAAGTAAGCAGGTTATAACAATAAATGGAGAAAAAGAAATTAGAATGACTTATGCAGCAAATAGCGCCACCTAACGGTACCAGCAGGTTGGTGTGGCGGCCCTGGAAATTTAAAATTATGCTAGCCAAAATTAGTGCCGAATAACTGAAGGAACCGAATAACTGATTGCCGGATTTGTGATGGTGGACCTGTATTATGAAAGTGAGAAAAAAAAGGTATATCGGCAACAATTCTGCAAGCGGCAAGACTCCATATTGCCATCAGATGAGCATCAGGGTCAACTTCGCAGGCTCATATTTCAGCGCGTACCGACCCTAAAAATTTTTTTTATCCTACGTCACATACAAAAATGCAATCTTTATTTCTATTTTTTTTTTTTTTCAAAATACAGTGGACCCCCGGTTAACGATATTTTTTCATTCCAGAAGTATATTCAGGTGCCAGTACTGACCGAATTTGTTCCCATAAGGAATATTGTGAAGTAGATTAGTCCATTTCAGACCCCCAAACATACACGTACAAATGCACTTACATAAATACACTTACATAATTGGTCGCATTGGGAGGTGATCGTTATGCGGGGGTCCACTGTATTTGGAGTGCTGAGCAAGAGAACATAGATCTACGTTTGGACAGTTAACAGGTTAATGAAGTAGGGGCTTCCTCTATCTCTTCTTCACAGAGAGTTACAGAGCGGGTTGTTCACTGAATGGTAGCAACGGGCATACTGACGCTAGTGGGCAGTCATGGCTTTGTCTCGAGAGAGAGGTAAACAAGGGTATCACGTGGTGTCGTGACTCATTTTGACCCATACAAGTTCTAGCATGTGAGTCATATTCCAAACAAAGGTCGTATACCAAGCAAAAATTTTCGCGTCCAAACAGGATGTATACCAAGTTGGACTTATTCCAAAGCGGACATACACCGAGGTACCACTGAACTTCCAAACTTCAGAGAGTAGATAAACTCTCGAAACTCTTCAAAGGTATATCAAAGGTATATTTTCCCACTACTAGCATGAACAGTTTAACAGCAGGCAAGAAGAGGCCTCTAATAAACTATAGTCCAATACTATACTTGACAGCACTTACCAAAATATAGCATAATAAGTATGTCTGTAGCAACATAAACTTACTTTTCTCTGCCAGGCACTGACTGAGAATGTTTCCTAGTGCTTCACATGTTGCTAAGTCCTCACTTGCACCAGGACTATGAGGGATCACCACACAGGAGTACTGACTTCCTACAAAAAAAAATAAAAAATGATTACTATATAGCAGACAAAACACTGACTTTAAGCTAACACTCAGTTTCTTTAACAGAGACAATAAAACACTAACATTAACTGCTTCCCAAGGGACATCATACTATACAATACAGGAATATGCAAAGGTGATGCGACTAACTTTACCTAGACAATACATAAAGAACTGCTGAAAAGTCATGGGCATAAAGAAGCAAAATTTCACTGTACAAAAGTATACAACTGTTACAAAATTAGGTGGCATATATCATACATTTTGAAATGCCCAATCAATGATTAGAATTACAAATTTTACATTATTTTCAACAAATTCCAATTTAACCCCTTCACTGATCCAACCCCTGAAATTAATATTGCTCTCAGTATCCACTTCAAAAAAAAAATCTTCTGAAATGGTAAGGAATCTTTTTCTGAAGGTATGACACCAAAAGTACGAAATCTGATGGAAAACTTTCGAGATTACACAGACACAAAGTTATCGTGGTCTCGGCACAATTTATGCATCAGCAATTTTGCCCACTATGTACTATTTTAAGCCAATTCCACTGTTCCATTCTAACAAATTCTTAGGTATTTCACTAGTATGTCATCTGTTCTATTGCTTGAGCACAAGAAACTGCCCATTCAACTAAATCAGCTACCAAATATAGTATGTACACAGAAATTAGTGATTTGGCCAATTTTAAACAGAATTAAAAAAATTTGAATTTAAAGAGGGTCCAAAATAAATACTGGACATTCCAGAAACTAAAACAACATTTTCTATACTATTCATTAATCATGTCTCCAGGCCTGTTCTATATTACACTTGCCATCCATTTTGAATTCATCACACAAAAAATCAAAGATTTACCCTATTTCTGATAATAAAATATGACCAGGAATGATTGGTCGTAGTTTATGGCACCCCAATAATTGAATCAGACTTAGTAAAAACCCATAAAACAGACAGGAGAGCCTTACCCATCCTCAGGAAAATTGGCAAAAATCAAACTACACCTGACTTCCTACAAATAAATACTACTCACCTCTCACCCTACATTAAGACTACGTACAAATATTTTAAGGTAAGTAATGAGTGTACTGTGTGTGTATTTTACTTTTTATATTTGTTAATGCTTAGTTCTATTGTTAACTTAATATATGTTATTGTAAACTTGTTATCTGGCATTTATATGCATTTATAAGTGGAAAAAATGTTCTGCTCTCCGGTGATGTCCACTTTCCGGTGGTAGCCTGGAACTTCACCTGCTGTATAAGTGGGGCCCTACTGTAAGTGTATAAATAATATCAGCGCATTTGTGAATGCATATTAGACACACCAGTTGGACGTGTATTGGATAAGTGACATGATCTGTTTACTCTTGAACATCAGCAAAAATCGAACATTTCTGCTACTTTGAGCTCAATTTCAAGCTATTTTCAGTCCTAAAACCAATCAAAATCATCTATTTCTGTAACATATCTTTCTTTCTAACAAATGACACCAAGAAACCAAGAATACAACCATAAAAAGCATACAAAAATACACTGCAAAGTTGCTGTTTTAAACCAAAAACACAGTAAGTTTTTTTCTCTTTATGCACTGCGTACTGCAGGATTTTTTTATAAGGTGCACACTTACCACACAGACCCATTCTCTCATATCTAAGCCCAAATTTACCGCTCACAGCTCATCTGAGTGAGCCAAGCTCATGGTGTAGTATTACAGCACTGACAGTGACCTCAAAGCCATAGCATTACAGCATAGTCAGTGAAAGGGTTAAACCAAACACAAGGTCAGAGTTTTTCTTTTCCCACCATCCACAGCATTATGCATGATTTTTCTTTACATTGTGACCCATTCTCTTATATCTAGGCCAAAATTTACCTTTCACAGTTTATCTGAGTGAGATGAGCTCATGACAGATCCATGTGACAGACAGTGAAAGGGTTAAAAAAATAGATACACTGCATGTCACAATACGAATGTTAAAGTGATTAAAATCGTTGGACCGGAAAAAATTAATAATCTTAGAAAACTCTTTCCCAAGCACCCAGGATTAAGGATATTTAATTGTATGCTTATAATGCTTTGAGAATAAATGTATTTGTGGTTTCTGTTTAATGATTTTAACATACTTTCACAGGAACTCGATTTTAAGTGCCTGACAATATACCCCTCATCTTATGGCTCTTAATATTACTGAAAAGTTAATCAAGTTGTCAGGTGAATTAATTAAAGGGCTAGAACAACGTACCGTCATGACAGTATAAGAGTTAGTATATCTTTATGTGACTCATGAAAAATTAAACAGGGAAGGATCAAAGCAAATGAAAACTTATCTTGGATGAAATTTTTAAAAAGATTAGCTTTACAGTTTCAGTAAAATTCTAAAATTTGCCACTTCAGGAACAACAGTACTGTCATATTCTTTGTAAGGACAATAATTAATACACCATGGTGCTTTAGAGAGATAAGAGGTATATAAGGTGTATAATTAGTGGGTGAGTAGTGTATTGTTGAATTATGTGACCTCTGCTGGTCAGGCAAAATGAATAATCTGGCAAAAATTTGGAAACAAGGGTACTCATCTATATGCACTCACTTATGTGATTGCAGGGGTCAAGTCACAGCTCCTGGCCCCACCTCTTTGCTAGTAGCTACTAGGTCCACTCTCTCCATGCTCCAAGAGCCTTATTGTACCTCCTCTTAAAGTTATGTATGGATCCTGCCTCCACTAATGCACTCTCCAGATTGTTCCACTTCCCGACAACTCTAAAGCTGAAGAAATATTTCCTTACATCCCTATGACTCCTCTAAATTTTCAACTTTCAGTTGTGTCCCCTTGTTCCTGTCTTCAATCTATGAAACATTCTGGCCCTGTCCACCTTGTCAGCTCCTCAGTATTTTATAGATCGTTATGTCGGAAAATCCATTCTTCTTCTTTCAACAAACCGGCCGTATCCCACCGAGGCAGGGTGGCCCAAAAAGAAAAACACAGTTTCTCTTTTTAAATTTAGTAATTTATACAGGAGAAGGGGTTACTAGCCCCTTGCTCCCGGCATTTTAGTCACCTCTTGCAACATGCATGGCTTACAGAGGAAGAATTCTGTTCCACTTCCCCATGGAGAGAAGAGGAAATAAACAAGAACAAGAATTAGAAAGAAAATAGAAGAAAATCCAGAGGGGTGTGTATATATATGCTTGTACATGTATGTGTAGTGTGACCTAAGTGTAAGTAGAAGTAGCAAGACGTACCTGAAATCTTGCATGTTTATGAGACAGAAAAAAGACACCAGCAATCCTACAATCATGTAAAACAATTACAGATTTCCGTTTTACACTCACTTGGCAGGACGGTAGTACCTCCCTGGGCAGCTGCTGTCTACCAACCTACTACCTACAGAAAATCCGTTATCCTGGAAAATTGGTGGTGCACTTGTAAACAGCAACAAGATCATGATTTCTACAGCCTTAATTTCAAACTTGACATATATATAGCTGGTGAGTTACCTTGTATATCACTAAGTGAATGAGGCTCTAACAGCTTTTTGGCTGCAATGTCATTTAACCATCGAGTGCTTTGGTCATCCTTATCAATAAAAACTGCTGCCGCTGCCTGAAAATAAAGACAATTATAAGCAAAACTATAATATGCATACATATGTGTGAAATAACTGATGTTAAAAAATGTGGATAACTAAACAGTCAGTTTATAAATACGTAATGTCTTTCAAAGAATAAAAAAAAAAAAGCATAATACCATGACTGGAATAATACATATATAACCCACACATAGGAGAGAGAAGCTTATGACTACATTTCGGTCTGACTTGGACCATTACAAGTCACACAGTGACTTATAAATGGTTGCAAAAGCTTTTCCCTCTTATGTATGGGTTATTTGTGCAAATAATGTCTTATTTGATATGGAAACAGAGAAATTTTATTTTACAGCACATTTCCAATATCAATAGCATGTGCAGTATTTTTGACAAGTACTACTAAAGCTATCAAATATTTTTATACAGTGCATCCTCAGTTATCAGCCATAATCCATTCCAGAAGGTCGACCTAAAACCGAAACGGCCGAACCAAAATATTTCCCATAAGAATTAATGGAAATACAATTAATCCGTTCCAGACAAAAATATTCACAAAATAATTTTTTTAACAATTATATAAGTACATGTATTACATACCTTTATTGAAGGGAGGAGTAAAGAGGGAGGAGTTAGTGTTTGGAAGGGGAATCCCCCTCCATAAAGACTTTAGGTAGCAAAGCCTTCTCTGGGGTTACTACCCTTCTTTGTCTTTTAAATGCCACTAGGACCAGCTTGAGAGTCACTGGACCCCTGTCACACAAAATAACTGTCAAGAGTGCTCCGTTTCTGGCATCTCTTTAAGATTTCCCTGAAGTGGGACGGGGTTTTGTCACTGAACATGTTGCAGATATGGCTTGTTTCAGCTTGGTCAGGGTGGTGTTTCTCTACAAAAGCTTGCAGCCTAGTCCACAGTGGACACACCGCTTTAATCTCTGATGAAGGCACTTCCTTCACTCCCTCTTCCTCCTCCTCTGAAGCAAGTTCCTCAGCTGCAGTCTGTTGCTGTTCAAGTTGAAGGTCTTGCAGCTCTTCAGTGGTTAGCTCTTCCCTGTGGTCCTCCACCAACTCTTCCACATCCTTGCCACTCACCTCCAACCCCAGGGACTTCCCTAGTGCCACAATAGACTAGTCCACAGGGTTGGCAAGGTCAGGGTCAGCCTCAAACCCTTCAAAATCCCTCTCTTGGACACAAACTGGCCACAATTTTCTCCAAGCAGAGTTCAAAGTCCTGGAAGTCACTCCCTCCCAAGCCTTACCTATAAAGCTTATGCAATTGAGGATAGTGAAGTGATCTTTCCAGAAGTCTCTTAGGGTCAACTGAGTGTCAGAGGTCACTTCAAAGCACTTTTCAAACACTGCTTTTGTGTAGTTTACTGAAGTTAGAAATGACCTCTTAGGGTCAACTGAGTGTCAGAGGTCACTTCAAAGCACTTTTCAAACACTGCTTTTGTGTAGTTTATTGAAGCTAGAAATGACCTGCTGGTCCATGGGTTGGAGGAGAGGAGTGGTGTTAGGAGGCAAGAACTTCACTTTTAAAATTTTGAAGTCCCTAAACACTTGGTCTTCCAAGTCTGCAGGAAGTGTAGGAGCACTGTCCAGCACCTAGACAAATGTGTATTACACATGTTTCTGAAGCATTTCTCCTTACCTACTGGCTGACTTGCCAAATGCATATTACACATGTTCCAGAAGTGTTTCTCCTTACTTACTGGCCGGTCGGCTGGCCAAATGCATGTTACATGTTCCAGAAGCGTTTCTCCTTACTTATTTACTTACTGGCCGGCTGGCCAGCCAAATGCATATTACACATTTCAAAAGCGTTTCTCCTTACTGGCTGGCCGGCCAAATGCATATTACACATTTTTCTAGAAGCATTTCTCATTAGGGCATATGTTATAGGACATTCTGGCAGGATAACACTACCAGTGGTATCAGAAATGAAAGGATGTTGCACAAATGTTGCACATGGGTTATTATTGAGGTTTTGGATATTTCCTTGACCACTTGTGGCCACATCCATCTCAAACCCACTAAACTTTGGGTCAGCATCACTTTCCTCTTAAAAGGGGAGTGTTAACCCTTTCAGAGTTCAGAGGCCAAATTTCAAAAGGTGCACCAGTATCCAAGAATTTTCAAAAAATAATTTTATTTTCTTCTTCTTATGAAACGGTAGAGAATCTTTTTCTGAAGGTAATAAAACAAAAAGTATGAAATTTGATGGAAAATTGACTAAATTATGCTCTCGCGAATTTTGACGTGTCAGCAATATTTACGCATCAGCGACTTTGCCGACTTTGACTCCCATTTTAAGTCAATTAGATTATTCCAGTTGAGCTGGCTCATGATGTAGATCTATGGTTTGGACCCTCAGTGCAAAGCTGATCTGCAGCACGGACCCTCAAAGGGTTAATTAAAAAAAAAACGGTCGGAGCTTTTTTTTTCTCATTATGCACTGCGTGCTGCAGTGCATAATGACCACACAGACCCACTCTCTCACCTGTGGGCCTACCAGCTTTCTCCTGCTCGATTTGAAGCCGCTAGAATTTATGAGTATATTTTATTTTTATTTTATTATCACACTGGCCGATTCCCACCAAGACAGGGTGGCCCGAAAAAGAAAAACTTTCACCATCATTCACTCCATCACTGTCTTGCCAGAAGGGTGCTTTACACTACATATATACGTCAAAAACGGTGGCTCTTAAGACGTATATATACGACCAAAACAGTCAAAGGGTTAGATGTCTTATTTTAGGTTAACATAGTTAACAGACATTTTCATTAATCCATCTATATTTTCTTCAAAATTATAGAAGTAACACTTTACATAGCATATAAACATGCATATAAACAAATCCCCAGGCCCTGATGAACTGTTTGCAAAGGTGTTAAAGGAATGTAAAGAGGAACTTAGCATACCTTTGGCTAATCTTTTTAGCATATCCCTACAAACTGGCATAGTGCCTGATAAGTGGAAAATGGCAAATGTAATACCTATTTACAAGGCAGGTGACAGGTCCTTGGCTTCGAACTATAGACCAAAAAGCCATACCTCCATAGTGGGAAAATTTATGGAATCAATAATTGCTGAAGAAATTCGTAGCCATCTTGACAGGCACAGATTGATTAATGAATCTCAACACGGTTTTACAAAGGGGCGTTCCTGTCTTACGAATTTACTAACTTTTTTCACTAAGGTGTATGAGGAGGTAGATCATGGTAATGAATATGATATTGTGTATATGGACTTCAGTAAGGCTTTCGATAGAGTTCCACACCAGAGGCTATTGAGGAAACTTAAGGCACACGGAATAGGAGGAGAAATTTTTTCCTGGGTAGAGGCATGGCTGACAAATAGACAGCAGAGAGTTTGCATAAATGGGGAGAAATCAGAATGGGGGCACGTCACAAGCAGTGTTCCTCAGGGGTCAGTGTTGGGCCCATTGTTGTTCACAATTTACATAAACGACATAGATGAGGGAATAAATAGCGACATAAGCAAATTTGCTGATGACACCAAAATAGGCCGTGCAATTCATTCTAATGAGGACACTAGAGCACTCCAGGATGATTTGAAAAGACTGATGCAATGGTCGGAGAAGTGGCAGATGCAGTTTAATATTGACAAATGCAAAGTTCTAAATGTTGGACAGTTAAATAACCATGCCACACATAAACTAAATAATGTAGATCTTAATACTACTGATTGCGAAAAGGATTTAGGAGCTCTGGTTAGCAGTAATCTAAAACCAAGACAACAGTGCATTAGTGTTCGCAATAAAGCTAACAGAATTCTTGGCTTCATATCTAGAAGTATAAATAATAGAAGTCCTCAGGTTGTTCTTCAACTCTATATATCCTTGGTTAGACCTCATTTAGACTATGCTGCTCAGTTCTGGTCACCGTATTACAGAGGAGGATGACAAAGATGATCCCATGTATCAGAAATCTTCCCTATGTGGATAGACTGAGGGCCCTGAATCTGCACTCTCTCGAAAGGCGTAGAATTAGGAGGGATATGATCGAGGTGTATAAATGGAAAACAGGAATAAATAAAGGGGATGTAAATAGCGTGCTGAAAATTTCCAGCCAAGACAGGACTCGCAGCAATGGTTTCAAGTTGGAAAAATTCAGATTCAAGAAGGATATAGGAAAGCACTGGTTTGGTAATAGAGTCGTGGATGAGTGGAACAAACTCCCGAGTACAGTTATTCAGGCTAAAACATCGTGTAGTTTGAAAAATAGGTTAGATAAATACATGAGTAGGTGTGGGTTAGACCTGACTAGCTTGTGCTCCTGGGTCTGATGCAGTGCTCCATCCTTGAGTGGAGATGACCAGCCTGGGTGGGTCATTGGGCTAATCCAGGGGATGGGGGTCACTGGTCTAATCTGGGGGCGGGACATGGACCTGCTCCGCATGGGTCAGTAGGCCTGTTCCAGTGTTCCTTCTTTCTTATGTTCTTATGTTCTTTCTTACTCGTTCACTATCAGTGTCCCTCTAGTCTTAACGCCACAGCTATAATATTAATACGTAATAATAATCACTCTTGGGCACATTAAATGTCTTATTTCATGTTAATATACACATTTTTATTAATCCATCTATGATATTTTTTCAAAATTATATAAGAAACATGTTACATAGCATATAAACAGCACATAAACATGCAATGTTTATATGCTATCGAGTGGTAAATCGGGTAGAGGGTAAACATCACGTTTTCTCTGGTCGAGCATTAGAGAAAACTGTGAATCTGTGTCTGGCCCAGTGATCACCCTTAACCATTTCAGGGTTTCGGCCGTACTGGTATGGCTTACGCCCCAGGGTTTTTGACATACTAGTACGCCTAAATTCTAGCACCCTCAAATCTAGTGAGAGAAAGAATGGGTCTATGTGGTCAGTGTGTGCAGTATAAAAAAAATCCTGCAGCACAAAGTGCGTAATGAGAAAAAAAAACTTTGACCATGCTTTTGGATTAAAATAGTGACTTTGCACTGTATTTTCATATGGTAT